ACATTGAAAGCGTTCATCGATTGAAACAAATGCTCGTTAAACCCGAACTCTGTGTACAATCTTTAGTCCCTCGTATACAATAAGGTAGCTACTTACCCTACAGGTTTGCCTCCTTAGGCAAGTAACGCAGTACTCACAAAGATTGTGAGTATCCCGTCCACTCACAGCGACTTCACTGTACTCACTATTGGATTAGATCATTACACTCTAATGTCCAGCCCGTCCTCATCAATAAAGACCCAAAGTCCATTCCATCCACCCGCCAAACCCCCTGATTATAAATGAAAAACGGTTTACACACGATTCACAACTGATGACGTTCGAACACTTCCGGAACAAATGCTTCTTGTTGCTTTTTAGATTCAATTACTCAGAATAAAAACTTGTACGTAGCACGGGCTATGGTGAGCCCGTGGTGGACTTACCTGGCACAGGAGCGGGGCTGTAACTTGGAGAGGAACAAGTGCTTCACTGACGACTTGTGTTCGAACCACAACGCTGTAAATGCTTCACCCACGTACTACAAATACAAATAATCGCCAACAGAACCTAAACACCTAACCTAACCTAACCAATGCCTATATATGCACAATATGCTAATATATTATAATATTAATTTATACTTGAGAAAATTCCCGTTTTGAATGAACAGCATGTTAAAATTTATGAATGCGTCTGTGGGGTCGACCGCTGGATGTAATGGACTTGAGTCGAGGACGGGTTGCATTAGGTCATTTATATGTTTTGATATACTGTAGTTTTATAGTTTTGGTCGTTTTAATTTATACTGAATCTTATAAATCTTTGTCCTTTTTTCATTATATGTTTTTAATTAGTTTAAGTCCATCATTAATTCACTGATAATGGAGTTTTATCACCGGAACTTTTGTAGATATAGAAAAGATTTGTCCAGTACACAGCCTCAGAGTCATGAAGCAACCTGTCCTCCTACAGCCTGTCCTCCTACAACCTGTCCTCCTACAGCCTGTCCTCATACAGCCTGTCCTCATACAACCTGTCCTCCTACAACCTGTCCTCCTACAGCCTGTCCTCATACAGCCTGTCCTCCTACAACCTGTCCTCCTACAGCCTGTCCTCATACAGCCTGTCCTCCTACAACCTGTCCTCCTACAACCTGTCCTCTTACAACCTGTTTTCTGAGTTTAATAGGGGTAACTGAAGCATTTGTGAGAGACATTTTCTGTGATTAATGGGGGGTAACTGAAGCATTTATGAGACATTTTCTGTGATTAATAAGGGATAACTAAAGCATTTGGGAGAGACATTTGTAAGAGACATTTTCTGAGTTTAATAAGGGACACTGCAGGTGAAGGGTGCCAGGTAGCGCCTTGCCCTGAAGGAGTAGGGCGGGTGCCTGTCCAGGGGAGTCATTTGCTAATATATGGAGCCTGGGATCAGGTGATCACAGAGGGAATCTGGTGTCACATCTTAAGCTTCTCGTTAGTCAGGCTTCAACTGACAGACGGGTTGGTATTAGTGGCGTGCGCTCGCTTATACTTATGTGTACATGTGTGTGTGTGTTTATATGTGCATGTATATGTGTTTCTTCCCCTCTTACATGGTTGTATTCTCCTAGCTTGGTTTGAGCTTCGTCTCTTGGGCCCCGGTTCTGTCATGTCTACGTTTGAATCTATATATATAGTCTGCTTGAACTTTACTTCTTAGTTCATAATGTTACTTTTCACTGATCTGAAGAACTTATGTTTAAGATGCCAGTACTCTGCTTCCTTGGCTCATGACCATCATATATCAAACAATCCGGCCTTGTTTACCTTGATTATTCCTCCTGAGTATTTTGTAGGTCGTGATCATGTCTCTCTTGTTTATTCTTTCCTCCAGTGTCGTGAGATTTTGTTATTTTTGTATATTTCCTTATAATTCATGCCTCTTACCTCTGGAACTTGTGCGATACCTCTGGATCTTCTTCAGATTATTCTACCATGATGGACGAATTACGGACGTCAAGGTGGGGCTGCATATTCCAGAATTGGTCTGACGTATGTAGCTGTGGCTTCCTGAAGGATTTCTCGTCATCTTGCACATCTTTTCCTTCTGCTTGACTCCGTGAGAGGATTCCCCTCTCGCTTGGTTCATAGTCTGATCTTCTGTCCCCATGTTTTACCTTTATTGTATTTACATGCTGCAGTTTAACTCTAGCAGCCATGTCTTAGTCTCCTCATTCCTGGTAGTGTGGTCCCCCCCTTCCCCCCTCCAAGGTGGTGTGGACACCCCCTTCTCCTCCACAGTGGAGGGGGTGGCCACCCTTGGTATGCTGCTCTCGTCCGGGTATCAGTGTCGTTCATTCCTGTTATATAAATGGCTTTTTCAAATTTCACAATTTAGCTTAATCTGGAGAGGTGAGGATAGTGAGGATGGTGAGGATAGGGTGAGGATAGTGAAGGCCAGTCGTAGTGCTTGCTAGAGAGCCTAAAATCTCAGCCTTAAAGGCTCCCAGACTTAACAAGAGACCACGGAGAACTCTCACAGTTTAATGCTCTCTATCTGTTAACATACTATGATAAGACCTGGCGCTGGCCACCAGTGTTCTCTGCTTCTCCTGTCTGTATTAGTCTCTAGTGAACCACTGCTTCCTAACACCTCTTGTTAGCGTGACAACACTGCCAAGGTTGTTAGCGCTAATCACTTCGTTAGAGGGTCACGTAACTATCCCAGGGCCCGAGATTGTAGTCATTTATTAATGGTTTGAGTACCTGAGACGACTATTAGTGGTGAAGGTGTTATACTTAGCTCAATAAGCATATGCTGTGGGTGTAGGGGTATGCTGCCCACAGGGTATAGCAGCTGTGGGTGTAGGGGTATGCTGCCCACAGGTATAGCAGCTGTGGGCATATGTGTCCCCACACATGCCTCTCCCCCACACATGCCTCTCCCCCACACATGCCTCTCCCCCCACACATACCTCTCCCCCATGCCTCACCCCACACCCCCCCTCCTCCACCCCCCACACAACCACCCCCACACACAGAGACCAATTAGTTGCCGGACGCCAGATTTATAGAGTGTTCCATCTGTAACTGGGAGCCACAGTTCAGGATATTTAATGATAGTGTTCGTATCCATGGTCGTTCGGAACGAGCTTCGCCACCTATGTCCCTTGTTGAGCGGCGTCCGGCAGTTAAGGTCAAGGACGAGGTCAGGACAAGGTCAGAGGTGGTTCTTAGATGGTTCTCGTACTAACTTGTACGGGGATTTCCTTATATTTCTTAGACTCATTTGTGTATCCAGTTTCCATCAGTGTCTTCTTGTTATTGATGGAAGAGGCTGGCTTTGTCTATCAATCTAAAGAAGCTGGCATTGTCTATCAATCTAAACAGGCTAACATGGTGGTGGACCCCATACCCATCCCGTGGGCGGTACTGGACCCCCATATCCATCCCGTGGGCGGTAATGGACCCCATACCCATCCCGTGGGCGGTAGTGGACCCCATACCCATCCTGTGGGCGGTAGTGGACCCCATACCCATCCCGTGGGCGGTAGTGGACCCCCATACCCATCCCGTGGGCGGTAGTAGACCCCCCATACCCATCCCGTGGGCGGTAGTGGACCCCATACCCATCCCGTGGGCGGTAGTGGACCCCATACCCATCCCGTGGGCGGTAGTGGACCCCATACCCATCCTGTGGGCGGTAGTGGACCCCCATACCCATCCTGTGGGCGGTAGTGGACCCCATACCCATCCTGTGGGCGGTAGTGGACCCCATACCCATCCTGTGGGCGGTAGTGGACCCCATACCCATCCCGTGGGCGGTAGTGGACCCCATACCCATCCTGTGGGCGGTAGTGGACCCCATACCCATCCCGTGGGTGGTAGTAGACCCCCATACCCATCCCGCGGGCGGTAGTGGACCCCCATACCCATCCCGTGGGCGGTAGTGGACCCCATACCCATCCCGTGGGCGGTAGTGGACCCTCATACCCATCCTGTGGGCGGTAGTGGACCCCCATACCCATCCCGTGGGCGGTAGTGGACCCCATACCCATCCCGTGGGCGGTAGTGGACCCCCCATACCCATCCCGTGGGCTGTAGTAGACCCCCCATACCCATCCCGTGGGCGGTAGTGGACCCCATACCCATCCCGTGGGCGGTAGTGGACCCCCATACCCATCCCGTGGGCGGTAGTGGACCCCCATACCCATCCTGTGGGCGGTAGTGGACCCTATACCCATCCCGTGGGCGGTGGTGGACCACCATACCCATCCCGTGGGCGGTAGTGGACCCCCATACCCATCCCGTGGGCGGTAGTGGACCCCCATACCCATCCCGTGGGCGGTAATGAGAAAGATTGCAGGAACACGTAATGGGTTCCACTGAAACTGCCCCTTCCCGCCAACCAAAATAATATTATTTTCCAATACATACCACAATTTAAAGGAAATTTGAATTGAAGTCCATATTGTCTTGCTTCAGCGGACAAGATATATGTGAGATCCATTTTGAATGAAGAAGTCAGAGAGAGAGACGAGAGAATGTCCCTTGTGTCCTCCTGCTCCTCCTCACACTGCTGCAAATGTAAAAGAATGTAAAAAACACTATTATATACTCTCACAAACCCAATGCACCTTCTTGTAAATAAATAAATAAATAAATAAATAAATAAATAAATAAATAAATAAATAAATAAATAAATAAATAAATAAATAAATGTAGATAATTCACGTTTACGTAAATTTTAATAAACAAAACTAGTACTGACAGTTCCTGCATATATAGGTTCTTTCATATAACCAAACAGCGTTTTCATATATTCAAACCGCCTTATAATTCATCTTGTACGATACTATAGAACTATAAGATGAAATTTATAGAGTAGTAAAATTATTAAAGCTCTTAATAATAAACTACAATGCACTGTACAATTAAATACTCTTAAATAGTCTTACTTTATCTATTAGATTAAGGCCTTGACCGAAACCCTATGGTTATTAGTGGCTTTGCAAAAAAATGTTAGAACACTAATGTTATGTATCTTCATGGCCTAATGTACCTTCTTGTATAGATAAATAGATATATAAGGAAGGAAGATCAGGAGAGGCCGGGTGGGCGCCCCTAGGACGAGTGTCCGCCGTGAGGACCCGGTCACCACAGGACCACTAACTTAGCCGAAGTGAGTCGTGAATATTTTGTGTAAATTGAGTCAATGATGTGGGTATTTATGTGGGTATTATTGGGCACGGGGAGGTCAAGAGAGCCCTCATGTACTGGGTATTGGTGGAGATGAGCCGGTTATATAGTGTAGGCTGCTCTTAGACCGGCTCTTCACTATACCCTCAATAGCAATTATTTACCTGAATTTACCTGAGAGTCATCATCTCCAGTGGCTTTGCCGGGGACAGGAAGCCCTGATGATCACTATCTCAGTGCCCTCGACGGGGGACAGGAAGCCTTGGGCATATATCTAATAGTCAAAAGGATTGTTAGGACATTTTTTGCATTTCGACAAAACTTGTTTTCTAATTGGTAGAACACTGTAACTTTATATGGTATATAATTTGTATAAATGGTTAGATTAGTCTGTGTTAACTTAGGGTGGATGGGTTTTTAAAATCTGTCGGAAAGCCGTCATGGGTACGGTATGACTTATCGTGCCCGGGCACTTTGTAGGTAACTCGCTGACTTCAGGTTAAAACTGTGTATAGCATTAGGTTAGTCTAATGGCTAGGCTAGGTTAGGCTAGGCTAGGTAAGGTTAGGCTAGGTTAGGTTAGGTTAGGTTAGGCTAGGCTAGGCTAGGCTAGGCTAGGCTAGGCTAGGCTAGGCTAGGCTAGGTAATGTTAATGTAAGTTGGGTTGAATTGTCAGGTTTGGTTGGGTTTGTCAAGCGTTGAGTTGCATTTAATATAATAAAAATCCATTAGCAAACGAACTTGTACAGTTCAGTATATGAAATGATCCATATCCACTTTTTTATTTTGACCCATTCATCTAGGCCTAGATGTGGATTTTATTTTTGCTTTTTTGTTACGATAACATTATGTTTGCCTCGGTAAAAGCTTAGGTTGGGTTGCCTAAATTTACCTGAGGGCCACATCTCTCCAGTGACCTCAATGGGTACAGGAAGCCAGCAGCTTGTCAAAGATACTACCTATTGTTCCTGAGAATTTTTTTAAACTGTATTTTAAACAGAAGTACTGTAGTGTCTTGACATTTATGCTTCAGCGGGTAAGCAGTTCCCTGGGTCTAAAACCATGTGGGTGAAAAGCATCTGTTTTCTGTCCATCATTTTGGCTTCTGCGTAACATTTAATCTGGATAAAGCTACAGTAGGGTCCAAAACATATCCGAAAGTAGATTACTACTACACCAGTCTCCGTGGTGTAGTGGTAAGACACTCGCCTGGCGTTCCGCGAGCGCTTTATCATGGGTTCGTATCCTGGCCGGGGAGGATTTCCTGAGCCGCAAATCCTTAACTGTAGCCTCTGTTTAACTCGACAGTAAAATGGGTACTTGGTTGTAACAACGATTCTTCGCGGCGGGGATCGTATTCCAGGGACCTGCCCGAAACGCCACGCGTACTAGTGGCTGTACAAGAATGTAACAACTCTTGTATATATCTCAAAAAGATAGACCTAAATATCATCTGTGGAGTCTTGTAAGTCATCTACAACTTGAAGCAGATGCAACACAAGACACTGTCAAGAGATATAATGTGCCAATACAAATAAGTGGTCTATAATGCAGCAGTACCACTAGTAAGGAGGCAGCCTGAAGCTGTGTTATTTTCCCTATGGTCTTAGAAATTCTTGTATATTATATCTCCACAATCCTTAGGTTAGACATGAGTTCTTGAGGTTCACATTTCAGCCTTTCCAATGATATATGATAAATTACTGTAATTTGTAAGCCTTTTTTTTTAATGCTGTCACAAGAACTATAAATTAATGTCACCAATCTGTACATGTGTAATATTAGAAAAATCCAGTGCAGTGAATTCTGCAAAATGTCTTTCTGAAAACCTGATAATGGTACATACGCTTCGGATTCGCAGTCCTCAGGTTCCGGGTTCGATCCCCGGTGGAGGCAGAAACAAATGGGCAGAGTTTATTTCACCCTGATGCCCCTGTTCACCTAGCAGTAAATAGGTACCTGGGAGTTAGACAGCTGCTATGGGCTGCTTCCAGGGGGTGTGTAACAAAAAGGAGGCCTGGTCGAGGACCGGGCCGCGGGGACGCTAAGCCCCGAAATCATCTCAAAATAACCTCAAGAAGAAAGCATGAGTTCCAGAAATCTAATTTTTCTTCACTCCTGCCAAATGCGGCATTGATGATGATGTTTGACAAGTTCAATGACTAAACATGTACTGTACTAATTGCAGTACAGTACTGTATTTGTTTTTAATGATTGATCTTTGCTGTATTGCTGTACAGGCTCTGGATATCCATGCCAGTGGCTTCTAACCTAGAAATATATTTTTCCCTAATTATAAGTTTAGACTTCTAATATGATTTAAATTTGTTGTTTATTTAGGCTTTATTATACGAAGCTCAGCTTCACTGTTTGTTATTTAAATATGTAAATACAGTAATTTGAATCATTAAATGCAAATACAAGTACAGTAATGTACAGTACTATAATTCCTCAGCAAAGCTAAAGTAAAATGTTTTAACATTTAGTTTTTCTCATAAAAATACTTAATATACACTTTTGTTGCAGATGCTGCTGCGACGAGTGTCTAGACTCTCGTCCTACGGTAGAGTTCTTTTAATTCCGTCAGTACCGGCAGTTGGTTCTAGAAATGTGTCGATACTTACAAACCATAATGGACTGAGGCTTAATTTGTCATCTGGGCTGTTGCAGTGTCAGTTTAAGACGGCAACTGTTCCACCATACAGCTTGGCTTCTAGAACAGTGCCAGGGTAAGGAAGTTTCAAAATGAACCGATTGTGATACTGTATGTTATTTCTTGTGAGGTACATAAGTCTAAACATTTTATTACTACATTCTATGATAGGCAAAATTTGCTACATTCTATGATAGGTAAAATTTGTTACATTCTATGATAGGCAAAATTTCCTATATTATTATTCTGTGTGGTCATTGTACCTTGGTGGCCTTGATGGGGAGAAGTACTGTACCCAGTAGTTTGGGCTTGCACAATCTTGATTTTTTTATGTTGGGATTTGAGATTCTGACTAGGCATTGGAACGAGTTTGATTATCAGTGCCATGATTTCCTAGTACATAATGTCACTTGTATATTTGTTAATAATATTAACATTACAGATTGAAAGCCACTTTAGAAGCAAGGATGTCAACATGGTTTCCAAACACTCAAACAAGTCTCTTGGCTGCTCCTGTACCTGTCAGTGCAGTTCAGACACGGTCAGTCATCAAGTGGTCCATGCGAAAGGGCAAGCGCAAGAGTGTTAAAGCAGTCATCAAGCGATTTAAGAGACTTGATTGGTAAGTTGTTTTAACCTTGCTATTGGTCAGATCTCTCGGCTATGTGCCTTTCTTAGAATATTTGGGAAAAAAAAGTTCTTTGCAATCAAGTTAAAATACTGTATTTAAATACTTGTATAATACTGCATATAAAATGTTCTATATACAGTATTATCTTAAATATACTGTACAGAATTTCAAATTATTTACATTCTGATATTGATACCAGTTTCAGAAATTTTGTTGTTACATCTTAAGGAGCCCGGTGCATGGGCACTGAAACTTCCTCATACACACTCAATTTTTTTTGTGCATAATCCTCATGGCGAATGGTTCAACTTTTCCTTATAAATCAACATCATAACATGAATAAAAAAAGTTAAAAAAAAATCACAATTTCAAATTGCTATAAATATCTTATAATGTCTCCAATTGCAACTGTGGAACAAGTGAGACAGGAAGTCATCTCCCTCACTGTTGAGATGACTGGATATGGGTAAAGTCAGTTTTGTGTGCTAAGCCACTGGGAATGTGATTAGTAAATATGTTTCCAGACAATAACCAAGGGCACTGAATTCAGAGCTCATAGAAGGTACTAGGCACCAAAGATATCATTATAGCTGGTTATCAATAAGACTTAAATAATTTGTTTACATTACAGAATGCAGTATCCTACTTAAAACAAATGTTATTTTTCTATACATTGCTATACTGTACAGCACTACATTGATTAAACCTAAATATATAATTTCAGGGCAGGCCGAGGCATTTGGATACGTGCTAGAGCAGGAGCGAGCAAAAGGATGTGGAAAAAGTCTCCTGCACAAAGGCGGCGATGCAAGACACATGTATTCGTCAATGCTACACAGTCTAATTTGTTAGATAAAATGGTAGGAAATGTCCTGTTTAACATTTCATAGGGGACTTGCATTTCCTGATGAAGTACATTATTCTCCAGATAATTGTTTTTCTCTCACTCCAAGTGACCAATAGCTTGGTGCATGTCAGCAACATTACAAAGCATTTAAAATATGAAAAACTTAACTCTATTTTCTAATGAAATTTTAAATGCACTTTTGTACAAGAAAGGCTCTCATAATTGTGTTTAATCTAGTAGTAGTAGTAGGCATCCATCAGTCTCAGGAGACTATGGAGTTGTGCTCTGGTTGTCAGTCTGGAGTGGCCTCACCAGGGTGCAAAGCCAGGGTAGGTTGATACGGGGGAGAAGCTGTTACCCAGGCAGCAGGTCCCCCGCTCTCCACGGCGCTGAAAGTCTCCAATGGAAAGGCATACGCCAATACGATTGGTTCCAGCGCCGTCGCAGGAACTGTGAGCAACTGTCAACTTATCTATGTTGTGAGGAATTTAGAGTGCTTAATGAAGATCCCAGTACCAGTACTTTGCATTGTCAAATACCGACAAGTAAATTCTCTACTGTTGACTCGTAAGTTTCTTCATTCTATCGACTCCAGATCATTGAAGTCTTTGAGTGATTTTATGGCCAGTAAGCCACAAAGACACATTTACATTGATATTGATGACATGCTAATAGTCTAAATGAGTTTATTATGTGGCCTAGTTTTTATTTTTGTGCCCATAAGATATTCTTAATTTGATGTTATGAGAAATGATGAGACAAATTGCAACAGGGGTGAAGTCTCTGGTCACCAGACAATGATACAAAAAAAATCTAGAGTGTCTTGACCAATGCATAAAATGGGATTTCAAGTGTCAGAAACTCTTTGCTTACTGTATTCAGTACTACAAAATCATTTTAAAATGGCATGTAATAGAAAATTGCTGCAATAAATATGCTAATGTTCATGTGTGCTGTGATTCAGTGCTTGGTTCTGAAAAAATTAATTTGTTCTTTTAATTTAAGTTGTTATATATGATTTAATGTCCTTTTTAAATTTTCAGGGCAAGGTATGATTATTTACATGAAGGATAACACTGGGTAGACATTGGGTACAACATTGGGTACAACAGTGCATTGAAGGCAATGGTACTCTGACATGGGTATCTAAATTGCTCCTGTATTCAGTGTCTGCAAATCAATTGAAAATGCCACCAATATTATATCAAACACACCTTGCTGCCTTACATATTGATATTAGACTTTAACATTAGGTGGTTTCCAAGGAATGAATCACGAAACATGGTGTGTCTTGTTTCTAGTCTTGAGACTCGTGGAAAGAAAGTTACTGTACTAAACAACATGAGTACTAATAGAGTACTGTACTACAGTACATATATCAAATCTTGATGCTTAGCGGTTCCCTAGAAATGAACCACTGAACATAATAGCAGACATTTCACTGATATTCCTGGATGCTAGTCTTTGGACACCAGCAGGCTACAGTGTCTAGGAACTAAGCACCGTATGTGTTACTCTAGGAGTGGTGCCTAGTCATATGAAAATGAAAGATATATTATAGGCAATGCTATACAGTACACTCTTATATTAGCAAAATTCTCTTACAAATAAGTGGTGTATCTTACTGGAAACTGGCATCAGGGTGTCTGTACACTTGCATGTGCAGTTATAAACTGCATGTTGCACTTTTAGGCAATATTAACACTGGAATGGATGCTGTATGTACAAATTCTCTCTTGAATCATACCATTAATTTTGTAATAAACCTAATGCTGGACTATACAACTTTAGTCCACCAAGAATATTAATACCATAAGTATCCAGAGATGAGCAACTGTACTAAATTAGTACAGTCCTTGCATAATCAGGTTCAGAAAGAATTGTTGAACGTTAAAATAATTTTTTTTGTTTTGTTTGCCATGTACAGGTTACTCGGTGCTGGAAGAGAGTGCGACACTACCCTGATGATCCTTACAAGTCATACATGCGACGCGACAACTATTATTTAACTCGGTCATACCCAAGAGAATTTTATTAAGCTGATGTAAAATGGTCTTTTCTTTGAAATATGTAAATATTGTAGCAAATAAATGTTGACCAGTTTATTAGTTACCATTAACACCTTATAAAATAATTTATATAGATAGCCACTTTTTTTCCCATATGAAAATACTACTACAGTAACACTAAATGTTTAGTACACAATTTCTAATGTGTGTACCAAAATTTCCCACATTTGATATTTTGAAAACTGCAGGGGGGGTTTGGGCAAAATATGACCCATCACCTTTTTCAGCAATTGGCATATTTTCGGTATAAAACATCGTAATTTGAAAATGAAAATAGGTGCAGAGAGTCAGAATTCGGCTCTAAAATCACGCTCAGGAGCCAAATTTCCCACATTTTAGATATTTTGAAAACTGCAGGGGGGATTTGGGCAAAATGTGACCCATCGCCGTTTTCACAAATTGGCATATTTTCAGACTCAAAATTTGCGCAGTGTCAGAAATCGGCTAAAATATAATGCTCATAAGTCAGATATGTGATATTTCTGATATTTAGAAAACTGCAGGGGGGTTTGGCCAAAATACGACTCATCGTCGTTTTCACTAACTGGCATATTTTCGGTATAATAATTCGTAATTTCAAACATCAGATATGTGCAATGAGCCAGAATTCGGCTCGAAAATAACGCTCATGAAACAGATTTCCGATATTCCAAAAATTGTAGGGGGGGGGGGCAACATATGGCTCATCGCCGTTTTCACTAATTGGCCTCACCGCAATTGAGGCAGCGAGCCTGGGGAGAAGTGCACTCCGACTTAACCCTTACACATGGGACAGAGAGACAGTACCGGAGCATCGGAGGGCACCATGCCCAAACCTCCAGCACTTATTACAGAGCCGAGGAGAGGGAATGTACTTCTGGACGGAGCACCTGGCACCAGCAAGAATGACAGAGGGCGGAAGGGTCCTACCATCAAAGGTAATCTTCACAACCCGAAGGGGCTGACGGTGACAACCACGAGGGGAACAAGTAAACGTGTCTACCTGGAGAACAGAATGGCCCTGGGCTTCGAGAATATGCCAAATATCTTCGTGGCAGGCTTGTAGATTAATAACACCGGTTGCAACATGCGGTGGGAGGAGAACAGTGCCAACACTGGCATTCAATCGAGCATTCTTGGAGACCCGAGCAGGGATCTTGCAAGGCAGGATAAGGCGGCCAAGCGGGTGGCTGCATCCTGAGAAGCAGCAGCAACGACACATATACCGAGACGGGTGGGGTTGAAAGTAACAGAGGCATCTACAGAATCAACAAGGTGCCTGTGGAGGGAGAAATCGTCAGGAGGCGAGAATCCAGAGGGAGGAGATTAAAGTATTTGTCCCACAAAGCGGGACCAAACAAGGCTTGGTACGCATCAGTACGGGAAGGGATCGTGTGAGTGCGGCCGTGGCGAGGACAGCATTGAGAACCCTCAGAGAGAGGGGTTAAAAGACGCAGTAGTCACAATGAGAGACTGAGCCGTGCCAGGGGACGAGGTGGTCACCACTGGGAGCTTGTGGCTCGACTACCACAGAGGAGGGAGGGGAGCCGAGGGGAGTAGTCAGGAGGGTCAAAGAAGAAGCAAGGTCGGGGTCCAATGCAGCGGGGTCTACAGAGCCCGGTCTTCCAACAGTGCGACTCGGGGGGCTTGGTCGCCCACCCCACAAGCCTGAGAAGGTACAAGAGGAACATTATCTGACATAAAAACGAGAGGTAATACTTTCAGTCACGAATGTGCCCCCACACCCACCACAGAGCCACAATTAGAGGCTGAACACCCAACAAGTGAGTATACGCCCCACAAATGCCCCTTTAAGAACCGTCAGTCCGTCGAGATTGGGTTCAGTGACGAAAGGAGGATTGACAATAAAAGGGTCCCCTCGCTCGAGACGTTGGGTACTACAGTTCTACGGGTGCAAGAGTATGCCTCCTCAAACACCCGGGCATCTAAACCAAAGAAGGTGAAAAGAATGATCAAAACAGGCACAAGGTCGGCGGGAAATGACAATTAGAAAGGAGAAGAGGGGGGGGGGAGAAAAACGAAACAAAAGGAAAAGTTGCCCAGCAAAATTAGTTTGGACAGCAGCAGGAGTACAAGGCCACAAAAGGACAGAGGACTGTCCCATAGAGCATCACACCCCGGCAGCCGCCCACCAAGCCCCCTCATGGCAACAACAAGCTGGACAGGGAGAGGGTAAAGGTTGGAAGAGGTTAATAAAAGCACCTGTGTGAGGTCACAATTTACTGCAATCACATGAATTAAAATTTAGATTTCTCTCATTACAGTAATAAGATGTTACAAAACACTTCCTAAAAGCCATTTCTATTGTTTACACACTCAAATATAACTCATATAATACAATAACTATTCACACTCCTGCATTCACCATAAAAGTCATGAGATGACCTAATGTTGCCACATTTGACTGAATAATACGTTGAATACGCTCCGTATAGCATGAACCCATAGGAGGATCAGAAGTACGTTGGTGGTGCCCAGAAGGTAACTCAAGCCATCGATCTGGAGAGGGAGTGTGGTCACGCATGTACATCCATACATCCTGAAGTATACATACTAACTCAAATGGTGCCAAGTTGTCAACCATCTGTGGCAACACTCCCAATGGACCCGGCAAGAACTGGGCTGTAACCATTACATCGAGAAGGTATCGTGTAGCATACAGAGCCTCTGGAGCTTGCTTGGCTCTAGAAAGGGGACAAGTATTCCAAAATGCAGTAAGAGCAGCTGTTAGTGCTCGGACAAGAACAGAGCAGTAACTAAGGGCAGCACGGTAAGTGGCCACAAATTCCAGAAGGGACCATGCTATAGGAAAATCTTCAAAAGTTTTCTTAATGGCCAGATCTCTCTCAAAAGTAAATTTGATATACTCTTCTGGCCAAGGAAACCCATTGAACATGATATCTGGTGATATTAGCTCTACTAAAAGAAGAGCAACAGTTGAAGCTCCTTCGCCATTGCCTTGAGAAGAACAGCAAATACTAAGAGTATTAAGCAGGAGCTGGGTGTGAAGTCTCACTATATCAGGTGGGAGAGTAGTGTACTGGTGGTGTTGTACAGGCCTTCCATTTCCAATAATACCCATGTGAAAGATACTAGTGTGAGATTGTGGAACTTTTACCCATGAGTTAAATTGTCTATTGGCTTGGATCAACATTTCTCCTGGAATGTTCTTGAAATCAAGGTGAGCTTCTTTCTGTGCACCAAAAAGATGAGCACACTCGGGCCTGAACACACCTTCAACAAGTAGTCGAATAATATGGTTGAGAGCAAGAGACGAGTGAGCCAACTGACTTAACACACGCTGGCACCTCCCAATATTACAAACCTTCTTGGTAACACTGGACTCGTGTAGGCTGCTGAAAAAGTAAAAAATAGTAGCATGGCTCAAACTTAAGATATGACCTACAGGAATTGGTTTTTTCAAAGGCAATTGGCAAAGCACTTGCACAGCAGCTGTGCCAAGAGCTGGATTATTAATAAGTTCAGCTAACAGAGGAATATTTATCAAAATGGCCTCTGTAAGTGTTGGATGAATGTGCAATTTTTCCTTACGTCCTCGACAAAGTAACGTCTCCAAACAATTCAGTGAAGTCAGGATAGTAGAAGACTCTGTTTGAGGTTGAAGTGCCCCGGCAAGTGCAGTGGACAGTGGTGAGTTTGGTGCATGTTGGACAACCTGATTTAGCATTAGAGCTGTGATGACAGCCGAGAGAATTTGCTGGTGGCCAACTGTTCCATCTTGAGTGCGACAATGTAACAAATGACCGAGCGTGGTGGTAGCTGTTGCAGGTCCTTGTTGTACTACTACTAGTGTGATCAACTGCTTCAAATGACCAATTACAGCTTGGCAACCAGGATTTGCTAAGGTTTCCTCTACAAGTCCAGCAACAGGAGATATGGCTTTACCACCTACTGCCATTCCCACATCACTTCCATCTAACCCACCTCCTCGAAGACCCACCAGGAATGGTATGTGAATACGATTAGACCCGGCATTTCTCCTCATGTAGGTAACCATGCATATCTCTCCAACCACACCTTGCAATATATTATTAACAGCAGAAGCAACAGCTGGGGGTAATTTTGCAGCAGATGCTGCACCCTGTAGCAGAAGGCGCAGAAGAGATGGTGCAGCAGATCCACCTGTATCCAATACTAAGTGAACCACCATTTCTTGTAGTTGGCTATGTGATGTAAAGTATTTTGGAACCCACCATCCTACTTGAACAGCCAGTGCTGCAAGATGGTCACTTGGCATCAAGAGTGTATCTAAACCAGAAGTGAGAGCAGCCAACACTGCCCTTGATCTACTGGTTACAGCTAGGCACAACAAAAATGGAACTGATGCCTTTGTTTCAGGATCTGATGCTCCATTAAAGGTACGGAGCAAAATTGCATGTAAACTCCGCCGAATATCTGGCAAATGACGATCTGCCAAGTGACTTAGGATCTTGTTAACGCTAGCCAGCTGGTGCTCAGGTGGTCGACCATGACAAGTTGCAAAACTTCGGAGACCTAGAGCCAGCACTCGACTTATGACAGTAGCTGGGAAGGAACAGCCAACATGTGCTACTAGCCAATCAAGGGCTGGTCCACTAGCAGCACTTGCATCAAGAAGAGCGGCAACAGCAGTGTCTGGATCATGAGCCACGCACACCACAGTGAGAGAAGCTAAAGTACGTGCAGGGCTACACGACAGCCAACCAGCAACTACCTCTTCCAGAGTAGCATCGCCTCTACCCACTACTGTGTTAGCAAACTCGACGGACCATCGCCCCAGCTGTTCTACAGCCCATTGACTAACAAGAGGTCCCCAGACCCCTGGAGTGGATTCCAAAAGGTCTCCTAACAAGCTTTCAAGTTGTCCAGAGAGTCCATCATCTGCATTCTCAGTTTTTCGAGAACTATCTCCAGCACTGTATCCTCGCATGTGAGACGATACCTGAAATATAAAAACATATTTGCCTAAAGTATGTCTTAAGTACTACTAGTGAAGTGCAAGAGAATGTGCAACTGAGCTGAGCATTCCACTTCAATTAATATTTCAGACATCCTTGTGCACAGGAATCGTAGCAGATATGTGGAAAAAGGCAAACATAGTACCAATCTATGAAAATGGTAGTCGAGAGGAACCTGTAAATTATAGACCCGCATCATTAACAAGCATGGTAGTCAAAACATTAGAAATTTTTTTTAAAGCCAAATGGGTTGAACACCTAGAGAGTAATGACATAATAAAGGGGGGATAGAAATAGCCTAAGCTACTCTATCCCTATGAGATGTATTTCTTGCTTATCTCAATAAACATACTTGAACTTGAACTTGACATAATAACGGACAGACAGTATGGTTTTCGAACAAGATGATCCTGTGTAGCAAATCTTTTTAAGTTTTGTGATAGAGCCACAGAGAAACTACTGGAAAGAGGTGGTTGGGTTGACTGTGTCTATCTGAACCTAAAAAAGGCTTTTGATAAGAGTTCCACACAAGAGGCTGTTCAGGAAACTGGAACATGGTCAAGGGTTGAGAGGAAGACTTCTGACAGGAATGAAACATTTTCTAACTGACAGATGAGAGCAGCCATCAGAGACACTGTATCTGACTGAAGGAGTGTTACTAGCGGAGTACCACAAACTTCAGCTCTTGCACCAGTAATGTTCATCATCTACATAAATGATCTACCAGAAGAAATGAAGAATTACATTAACATGTTTGCAAATGATGCTAAGATACTGGGGAAGATAGAAGATGCAGACGATTGTAAAGCCCTTCAAATTCACCTAGATAAAATAAGTACTTGGAGCATTACGTGGCAACTTTCTTACTTTAGAATAGCTTTTAAATGATGTACTGTACATGGATGGTGAAATATTAAAACCTTTACAACATTTGTCAGACCAAAATTGGAATAAAGCAGTGGTTGTATGGTGTCCATATCTCGAGAAGCACATCAATAAATTGAAAAAGGCACAAAGACATGCAACTAAATGGCTTCAGGAACTAAAAAAAAACAAGAGCTACGAGGAGACATTAGAGGCATTCAATATACCAAAGCTAGAAGACAGATGAGGATGTGATATGATCACTGCGTAGAAAACAGTAACAGGATTAAAAAAATTGGCACACAAAAATTTTTGAAAACTGCAACTTCAAGAACATTAGAACAGGATCAAATTAAGGAAATAAATCTGCTGAAAAAACATTAAAAAATTAACTTTTACAGTGGCAGATGGTTCAAACAAGTTAAGTGAGGTGGTGGTGGAGGTTAAGACAGTCAGTATTGTAGTTTCAAATCATCATATGACAAAGAGTACTGGGACGGCTGGACACCATGACCATGGCTCTTATCCTGTAACTACATTTAAGTAATTACACACATTCCCAGGCTGAAGCCCACAGCAGCTAACTCTTAGGTACCTATTTACTACTAGGGCCACAGAGGAAACAGGTGAAAGAAACTGTGCATTTGTTTCTCTCTGGAACCGAACCCGGGTCAGTAGACTGTGAATCCCAAATGCCATCCGCAGTGGTCAACACAGTCTGGTCAGAAATAAAAGGTCATAGGTTCAATTCCCGCAGCAAGACAAAGACACTTGTTCTTTTCACCTGATGATTCTGTTAACCCAGCAATACACAGGTACCAGGGAGTTAGGCAACTCTAAGTCGAAACAGGGTTCCTATACTTGATTATGAGAAAGAATACACAAATCTTGAATATTTCAAGCCATCACACAAAGGTTTTCTTTAGATAATTTTTTTTTTAATATATCATAAGATATCCCTACATGTGGTACCTAATAAAACAAAAGTATAACTATATGTCCATTTTAACACAAAACCCCCATGTATGTACCTGTCTGGACAATGTATGCGCCAAAAATGCCAGAGCTGCAGGTCGTGCTGGAGGCAAGTTACGCAAGAGGAAGAGTGCAGTTTCTGCAGTCGTCTGTTCTTCTCCCTCACTGATGGCATCTCTTCTTCCACCATGGCTTCTCTTGTCAGAAGTTGTCAAAGCCAGATTCAGGAAGCGGTCTAATTCTGTCAACAACACGGTGGTTGAGATGCCCCGCCCACCACCATCCATGTTTATGCCATGACCGGCTTCCATTGGACCGGTCACCACCATGGTAGTAATGCCTTATTCACTTCTTGATGGCACTACATACAAACCCTAATAACAAAAAATATATTAGTCACAAGATGTATTCAACATGAAACAAATTTAAAATTAACAGCTAATTTATACAGTATTTAACATATAATTTATACAGTACAATTCTTCTTCAGAATTATTTTAACATTTAGGTTTGGTTAACACTGTAAATATGAAATCAAACTTTATGTTAAGTGAGAAAATCCACAGGAGAATTCCAGATACCTCAGGAATTCTCGAGGGTGTAATAGTACGTCAGGTTGCAATTTTTTTTACCATGTCGTGGTGTAGTCGTTTAGAGCGTGCATCTGGGAATACCCAGCACATAGTCTCCCATACCCACCAGTCTCCGTGGTGTAGTGGTAAGACGCTCACCTGGCGTTCCGCGAGCGCTTTGTCATGGGTTCATATCCTGGCCGGGGAGGATTTACTGAGTGCAAATCCTTAACTGTAGCCTCTGTTTAACTCAACAGTAAAATGGGTACTTGGTTGTAAAAACGATTCTTCATGGGGGTTGTATTCCAGGGACCATAGGATTAAGAACTTGCCCGAAATGCTACGCGTACTAGTGGCTGTACAAGAATGTAAGAACTCTTGTATATATCTCAAAAAAAAACAAAATAGGTTCAAATTCTCATCACAGCTCCTGTGGATTTTCTTGTTGATATATTAGTATTAAGCTTTAGTCAGTGTTTTTCCCCCCTACACCTTGCCCAAAATGCTGTGTGTATTAGTGGCTTTAGGTGTTTATATACTAGCTCTATCTATAAATCCAACATTATGTTTGTAACTCATCTTCTATGTGTGTACTTTTACCTGAATAAATATTTTGATTTTGATATCATGATACAGTAATGTGTATTTATGTTAAGTGGCACCCATATGCAGCTCTGCCACTAATTTATGCATTACTGGAGGAGGAGGACTAATGTGGTACACAGATAAGCACATTTATAAAAATAATTTAAAACCCATGGGAGAATTTTAAAGTTATGTGGGTTTAAGGCGGGTTATAATGTAGTTGAAGAGATCATTTATGTTCTAGTGTTGCTAAACAAGATGAGAAGAACAAATCCACAAGGACCGTGACGAGGATTCGAACCTACATCCGAGATCATCCCAGACACAGGTTCGAATCTTAGTCACGGCCCTTGTGGATTTGTTCATTTGATGTATCACGCTATTGTGATTTGTGTGTGTAAAGATGAGTAGTTTACAAAGCTTTCTCTTCAGTTGTTCGTCGATGATAACCAAGTCGACGGGGCTCGGCGAGCTGCGACACAACGGCTACAGCAGTCACAACACAACCAAATGATACCAAGTGTGAGCCAAGTGGAAGTTCAGCAATGGTTGGGCAAAGTTTCCTTACACCTGATTTACCTGAGAGCACTAACCCTAGTGCCCTTGATGAGGACAGGAAGCCAGCAGCGTGTCGAAGGTCCTGCGACCCGATACGGTTGTTCACCTAACAATAAATAGAACCCCGGACTCTAGATAACTTGTGGGTTGTAACGTAGGGAAAGTCAGCTGCTGGCCTGAGGGAAGGTCTCCATAGGTCTAATGGGCTCCCTGTCCCAGACTAAGACATTAAAATAATTGTTTTGAAGAGTCTGAGTTGAAGATGCTGGATTACCGAGACTGAGCTGAATTAATGAGGCTCCTTGTTGAGAAGGTTGGAAGATGACTAGGACGAGTCACACTCGGCTGGCAACCCAGCGGGTTTTCTTCCTATTGGGGAGTGTTGATTGATAAAGATTAAGCCACCCAAAAGGTGGCACGGGCATGAATAGCCCGTAAATGGGGAGTGTTGTACATACTGTCACTATGGTGGTGTGTCCACTCACAGGATAAGTGGCGCTGCCTAATAAATTTGTCAATAATTAATTAGCCAGCCAATAATTACTGGCTGGCCAAAAATTTAACCCCTCGGGGCAAAAATAACAAATTAAGTCACTCCATTCACACTCATATTTACCATCACGGACACACAATTTCTATGTTCCGAACATACATATTATTGGTCACTGTTACAAAATCACAATATAATGCCCTTAATAGTTAAAATCTTCTACTGAGTAGGTATATAGTTATTAAAAATTAGTGATGTAGACCTGATGTGGACTTCATAACAACGGCCGCCAGTGTCAACATCCCAGACAGTGTTGCCAGCGCCAACTTGCGGAAAGTAGCGGAGCTGATGGGCTAAAAGTAGCGAATTTGTCATAAAAGTAGCCCAATTTTAGCCCCTGGGGAGGATTATCTTGCGGTTACTTTTTCTTTCAAAGGTTCCTAGGATCAACGTCCCCAGGGGCCGGTCTCTGACCAGGGCTCCTGAGGTAAGTGGTCTAGTCAATCAGGTTGTTTGACTCGCCTGTGATTTGTACACATTATATTATTAAAGCATAAATAATCATCATTGAGTTTCTTAATATTAATAGCCCAACTTGCTTTTAAACTAGCCCAAAAAGTCGCAAGTAGCGAAATAAAAAAAATGGGAGCGTGGGGCTCTCAGAAGTAGCCTAATTCGTTACTTGTAGCCCAATCTGGCAACACTGATCCCAGTAACCACAAACATGACCCAACGAACAAAACATATTTTGTTCTGGGATAAACTATTATTTATTTATTATTTAATTATTATTATTTATATTTATTTATTATTTATATTATTATTATTTACGGCCGCTAGTGTCAACATCCCACCGACTACAAACATGATCCAACGAACAAAACATATTTTGTGCTGGGGTAAACTATTATAAGTTATTTGGGGGTAAACTGTTATAATTATATGCTCTAGGTATACTTGCATTTAACAATATGTATTGAAGATAAACACTGAATATGTAATATTAATCAATATAAGTGACACGAGACGCAACAGGCTATTGTAGTTGTGCGCTGGCTGCCGTTCACAACTGTTCACCATTACCTTCATTGACTGCAAGTTTAACAATGGCATCAACTTTAATGTAGTGTAAGGGCATCAACTTTATCATGTTTTTACAGTCCAGTGTAATGGGATCCACAACAATTTGATCCTGATCCTTTTTTTAAGTAGGTATATTACAAGAAAAAAACAGTCTGCATGTTTAGACTGCATTAGTGGTCTAAACACTGGGCTTCCTGTACTTTACTTTACTCAAGAGATTAGTGGTCTAATCACTGGGCTTCCTGTACTTACTCAAGAAATTAGTGGTCTAATCATCGGGCTTCCTGTACTTTACTCAAGAAATTAGTGGTCTAATCATCGGGCTTCCTCAAGTGATTAGTGCTCTACGTACAGTTTCCCACAGGACTCCCTTGCCACTTCTCACTATGAACCTCTAAGCACCTGTATCTGTCTAATGGGGGTGACAGTTCTAAGTATTTCTTAATTCACGGAATGAATTTACTTTGCACACATCTTTCTTATCGACTGGGTCAGTCATCTGATCTTCCTGTCTATTTCCTTTTTGGTATGTACAGGATTTTTGTACAAGTTCAAAGACCTTTGTAATATTTTTGTAGTTCCTCGCTCATATGTGAATAGCCTCATCCAGGGCATCCACTCATGAGCCTCAGCGTTTTTCAAATGATCCACTGGTTACCTCAACACACATCTCCCATACTCTGCAAATCTTCATACATTTCCTTCATATATTGGTCATCCACTCATGAGTCTGCATCAATATATTTACTTTTTTCAACATATTCTCATATTCCTGTTACCTTAACACTCACATTTTTCTCTACATTCCCAGCAACCTCATACTCCCATGTTTTACACATTCCCAGCACCCTCATACTCCCATGTTTTACACACTCCCAGCAACCTCCAAGATTATTCCATACACTTCACACATTCCCTTCTCTCAGCATATTTCCAGTGCTCTCGCATACCATCTTATTTCTACACCTTCACCTCCTTCGAGGACTCCCTGCACCCTTATGCACCCTCTCACACACACAACCCTCTTCCCCACATTCCTGTTTTAATGACTACCACAAAACTCATGAAAGTTAAGAAAACAAATTTTGTATGTACATATTTTCTCTTTAATTTGTAAATTCTTTATACAAATGACTATGGGGAGATCGACAAGCAGCCTCTTATGTACAGAGCAGGCGATAAAAAAGCTAAAGTTGTGAAGGAGCGTGTGTGTGTGTGTGTGTGTGTGTGTGTGTGTGTGTGTGTACATATACTGTGTGTAGGTATTTGTGTACCTTTGAGGAGGGATAAGGAAAAATGTGGGATGTAAAGGGCAAGAGAAGGGAAAAGATAAATAGAGAAGAGTAAATGAGGGAAAGGTGAAAAAAAGTGTGAAGGGGAGAAATGGGATTCAAAGGATAAATAGGTTAAGGGAAGCAGGAAGAGGAACAGTAGGTAGAGGGTTCAGGATGACCAAACGAGCAGGAATATTGAAAAAAAAACAAGATAAGAGAAATGTGCAGCAAATATATATCAGAAGACACTAAAGTCAGCACTTAGACAGGTTGAGTAGCAATTATGCTTGAGAAAAGGTAAAGAGAAGATAAAGAATGGGAGAAGATGCACAAGTAAGTGTCCAAGGGTTGAGAAAAAAAAAGAAAAAGTAATAGCGTGTCAATGAAAAAAATAAAAGTGAATAAAAATAGAAAAACTTTGATAACTCTAATATGATGAGATAATAAGCCTGCAGCAGTCTCAAATGAATGAATCTGTGCAGAGGACAGGAAGTTACAAGAAGGTATGGCAACTACAATAAATTAAAAATAAAATTTAAGTTGAAAACTATCTTCAAGGAAACAAGGGGCCATTGTCACCACAGCCCCAATACCCTATCAGCTAGGCACAACAAATGAAGCACAGGAATTTATGGATCGGCAGTGGCCACACGGAGAGGTGTACCAACTACTAAATGAAGTTATCAAATTGAATAAAACACAACAGTAGACTGAATTTTAAGGGTAAATTCTAGACACAAGTGATACAAGAGATTGGGTATTTTGAGAAGGATAGTTGGCAGTACTGCACCAAGTTACTGAGGGATGTTTGTTGTGTTCGACAGTATGCGCTGTAAGGTTCAAAGACACACTACGGCACACACTGCCAAGTTTGGAAAAGAATGAAAAAACTTCGAATGATAAATGTAGAAAAAGTAATTACAGTAAAATATGAGGATGTGAATGACACAATCGGACATATGGATATGAAGTACAGCAGAAATATGATTCGAGCAGATGAAATATTAAGGAAATTGATGGGAAATGAGCCAACCATGCCATGATGCAATGAAATGATGATGAAGTGAGTTACTTTAGGTTGATTATGAAGTAAAGGGGTAAATTAATAGAGGCTGCAGTAGGGGGTTTATGAAACTATGAGGGGGTCACTCCAAGGACATGAGAGAATGTAATATGATGAGGTCAAGCCAGTTTGGTACTCAAGTTATGAATAACATCAGGAGGAAGTATGTGATAACACCTCACCACTGGCAAGTGAGGAAGAAGGCAAGTTATTATACTCTTCAAGAATAAGTGAATAAACGAGTTAACCCTGACAGATGGGGAGGGAGGTGGGGGGGGGGGGGGGAGATTATACTCCATGAATTTGAGTTATTTTAAAATCAGAAAAATTTGGATAAAATTTCCCAAAGCATCTCTATGAAATATAAAGATGCATTTGGCATTAGAAAATTATATAATTTTTTAAAATACATTAGAATTCAATTGAAAATCAAATTATATAACAAATAGCACTTAGCACTTTGTAAAAAAAAAAAAATTAAATACTTTCCTCGTTTATACTAGATAAATTATTTTTTAGTACATGCACGCACTCACACACCGGAATAAAGTTGATAGTAATTGATCATTAATTACAAAAATACTATCCTTAAAAGTGAATGACTGAACAACAAAAATGCAAGTCCTTATTCTGGAAATAGAGTTTTGATTAAAATATTAAAAAGCAGACAACTAACTAATACACATTAAATTAAGATACGGTACATTCATTCCACAAATATATGACAAAGGTGTTCATCTTGGATACTGTTAACTTTTGTGGAGGTTATCCTGAAAACATAAATGACAAGAAACAAGTGTTCCTATATATTGCAACTCATGTCTACTATAACCTATAGCAGTTCAAAATTTGACGAGTTTAAATAATTAAACGTACACACGTAAGTATTTAACTTACTGTGTACTTGTATTCTAATAGCACTGCCCAAACACACTTGTAAAATTCAAGTGTTTATGATTGGCATCAATGTATTTATATGAGGTCTAAAATGCAAAGAATTTGAAGAATTACTTGTAAGCAGTAGTCATATGTTGCGTATGTACCCCCAGAGAACACCGACAATGAACCACTTCAATTTTGAGTGCTGTACATCTCTTGCATACAGATGCAAAGAGTCGTAACCCAGTAGACTCATTGTTCCAAGAATTAGCTGGTTGACCTAACACGTAATAAAACACGAGTATAGAAATAAATCGATAATCATAAAAAATAATTATCATAAAAGACTTATCAAATAAAAAGATATTTGAGGTCAAGGGAGGGGAAAATAAGGAAGTAGGAAATGACCAATATGGAAGCATGGGGATGAAATACCATAGAAAATGGGCTGTACAAATAGACGCTAAGGACCAAGGGTGAGTGTCAGGGATACTTCAGGTTTGGTGGTGTTTGGTGCTACTAATGTAGAGTTAAGGATTTCCAGCTAAACTAGAATAAATCCATCTGGCAATATAAACATCAATGAACATCACCAAAACGTCTGCTCCATTTCAGTTATTGTTACTGCTTGTTACAAACAATAAGAGGATTGTTAACAATGTCCACTTCTTATAATGCTTAATAATGACATTAAACTGTGAATTCCTTTTGCAACATGACATCGCACATGCACACAACCCAGGGATTTCTCTTTAAAAATTATTGTAAAATAGTATGATCGTCCCCATCTAGAACCCATCTGAAACTTAATGTACATCCTAATCCATTGATATCTGGTAAAAAATACATCTGTTGTCCATTTAACAAGCCAAAAATATCACCGCTAGGCCATTATTCATACCCTTGACCTGTTGTCCCTGATCACTGGTTGTCATTACCAAAATTTTCTGGAATTTTCAACATTTCTCTCCTTTGTCCAACACCAATAACAATATTTATGCCTCCCACTTGGCCTACAAAATAATCCTCTTTCTTGTTAAATT